GAATGGATTCTTATTTATACAGTTGGGATCATGTCAGATGTGAATTTTTTTTAAAGATAATTTTTTTGTTGTTAATTGGTGTTTGGTTTGAGGGGGTGTTAGTTTTGTTTTGTTTTGCATGAGCTTGCACTTTCTTGAACAATGGCTGTACTTCTGTTAATTTCAGGAAATTGAGGAATGTGTGTGTTCTAAATAGTAGATAAAAAAATTGAGAGAATGGAAAATAGATGAAGAGGACTTTCTGCTTAAAGAGAAGGGTGGTATGTAGTCTGGCATTTGTTGGTTCATAAATCTGGTATTGTAAAATGCAGTCAGCTTGCAGGACTGACAGTGTAATTACTTGAACTTTTAAAATCACTTTAACACCTAGCTTAAAAACCGCCCTAATACTCTAATACTCTGCAGTCTTTGAAATCAAAGTGTGTAACTTTATACAGCTGCAGAGAGAATGGATGAGTTGATGATGTTGTTTACCTAAAAGCTACATAGAGTACTGGCTTGTTAGAGGGAGAAATAAAGACACCACCACACCACACCCCCCTTTTTCTCTGGAAACGTAGCATGCTTTGGAAGAAGGGCAGGCATAACTTCTCTGCATATGATATCCAAGCCAGCACACTTTGCCAAACTTTGGTGTTTGTAAAGCTAGCATAGTAACAAGGTATAAAGCTAGCATAGTAACAAGGTATAAAGCTCACCTGGGGGTTTGTTTCCCCTGGAAACAAACTTTGCTTCTCCATACTTCAGTGTTGCAGTGCAACTCCGGGTCATGCTCTAAACTTGAGTTTAAATTATCTATATACATTTTTCATTTTACAAATAGTCCAATATTAAGTAGTGACTAAAACTCATGGCGGATTTTTGTATCCTTGTTCCTTGCTATAGTAGTGTCCTGTACTAGTGTAATTGTGAGATTTTCTGGTCTTACTGGTTTCATTTGCTTATTCTAAAGTGATAATATTTTAAAATGGGTTTTACTTTCAGTGTGAAAATAATATTATAAAATTCTCAGATCTGTTGCTGCTATAGCATAGTCTGATCCAAGGTGTTAAAAATGTGTCAAAATTTTTCATCTTGTATGTTACCTTGAAAAGTTGGAATTAGTTGTTACTATCTTTGAGATAGTGTTTAGTAAGATGTTACCATGGAAGAGTTGTACTAGAATAATGGAGCAAATGAATTATGTACAGACACTAAGCATGTGTTGAGCTAGACTAGAAAGTGATCCAGAAATGTAAGTCTAGGAAGCTAAGGGGAAGTCATGATTTCATTTCTTGACCGAATATCCAAAACAATAGCCTAACATTTTTAGAGGAAAAAAGAAGGCACAAATATACACACATATATATGTATATATATATGCATTTTGTATCCAGAGGTGGTTGTTACCCAGAAGTTTTAGAGTAGAGATGTCTAAAAGAAACAGTAATTTTAGACTTAATACTGAGAACTGTCTGTATTTCTATTGCCTTGACATGTGTCAGCAGCTCTGTGGTAACAGTCTCGATTAGTCCTGCTGATTAGGGACTGAGCAGGTTATGCTGCTGTTCGTGGAAGTACATTTCTTTCGCAGTGCTCGGTACGTTGCCGAACAAAGAAGAAAGGAGGGAGAGAGCATATCAGTCGTTACATATGACGTGTGACGGGTAGTAGAGTTGCAGATTACGTACAGGTTAACTCTGTTTTATACTGGAATAGCAAATATGCTGTGCAGATCTGTTATGAATGAGAAATCAAAGGATAAGATTTCTATTCTTCTCCCCCTTCTAGAGCTTTATTGCCAGCTCTGTCATTGCTGGCCTGACCGTTGCTTGGCCTGAAGGACGGCAGGGGTTTATATAGCTTAAGGAAATCAGTACTACATCTTTACATTACGTTCATGTTAACAAGAATGTAATCACAACCATGAGTAGGCTAAAATTATTTTCCTTTTTGAAAATTATTTCGCTTTTTTTTCTGTAGATGACCCTGCTTTGTCAGGGGGTTTGGACTAGATGACCCACAGAGGTCCCTTCCAACCCCTACCATTCTGTGTGATTTTTTTTTTTTTTTTTTTTTCTTTTCCAGTGGCAGGAGGCCTTGTTTATTAAGTGTGTAAGATACAACAGGACTGTCCATCTGATGGTGGTGAAAACTCAGAGATTTGAAGATGCTTGAAAATCAAACATGGAAGTAAAGACTGGCTTTATTTGATGAATCAAACATTTGGGAATTGCATATAGTTCAGTGACAGAATTGTTGAAATGTTTGTAAAATTATGAAAAGGTGACGATCAAGATGAATCTGCAAAACAAAAGTAGTGAGACCACAGCACAAACTCGTAGAAAAGAGGGCACATAGTACAGTGGAAGAACTACTCTGGCGCTGTCTCTGAAAAAGGATGTTAAAGATGTACTATAAATACAAAAACATGAAAGGAATCCTAGATCCAGAAAACTGGATCTTTGTTAAAGTTTCTCACTGAGGTTAAACACAGAGAAGAAAGATTTCTTAAGAAGTGCAAGGAATTTGTTGAATAGAGATTACTTTTGCAGATGGCTGTTTCATAGCACTGACATATAAATGGTTTTCACACATAATTACATTTTTAAACCCCTCATTCGGGGAGCTGCTTCAGCAGTGATTCTTCAGCTCCGGTAGTCAAACATGGAGGAGAAAAGATGCTTAATAAAATTCCTGAGGGTTTCCTGAGCTCCCTGTGTGCTATCTGGATTTGCTGTTGCAGTGTGAAATTCTCCAGAACTCTAGTTTTGTATGTGAGGAATTGCAAGAGGATGTC